CAAGATTGATTTAAAAAAAAAAACTTAACCAGTGTTTTGGAGAGTCCATGAATATCCAATAAATGAGCGGGAAGTCAGAATGGAGACCTAGAAACTGTGAAGGTGAGGCATGAAGTGAGGAAGGATGGGAGCTGGAGATATCGTGTGTCTTGAACCTGTAAGATCAGCACATTTAAGCCTCTTTCTTCTATTTTAGATAAACTGTTCATTGCTAACTATTTGTACCCTAGTGTCCTTTATCTAGAAGTACAGGGTTCTGAGTCTTAGGTCTGTGGAAATGGGTTTAACTAGGTTATCAGTATTGACTCCACTAGTACGCTTTAGCCTGGATCATAGTCTTTTTCTATGCCTTTTGAGAAGCCGCAAAACGCCCTGCGAATGTAGCCTAGGGGCAGAGTTCTGGGATTCCGTGTAGGAGACCTTAGGTTCGATTCCCAGTGTTCGATTCCCTTCACCGCCTGATTTCCCTGCTTTTCTTAAGTTGTTTTTGAGCTTTTTTGTTCTCAAACCCAATAAATCTTATGTATCATTAGCCAAAGAACCAATATATGTCCCTCTTCCCATACATATGCAAATATGTCAACCAAAAGTAAAATTAATAAAGGATGCATAAGATTACAGCAGCTAGGGCTGGAGAGATGACTCAGTGGTTAAGAGCACGGGCTGCTCTTCCCAGAGGACCTCAATTCTCAGCACCCACAAGACAACTCACAGCTGTCTGTAACTCCAGTTCCAGAGGATCTTACATGCTCACACAGACATGCATACAGGCAAAAATACCAATGCACAGAAAATAAAAATAAATAAATCATTTTTAAAAAATTACAGCAGCTATTGTTCCTATGGCTACAAATATCCAGTAGTGATGGACCGGGTGATTTCTTCAATCTTCTCACCTATCTCCCACACAGGACCTTACACAGAACATCTACAGAATGCAGACATTTATTGAGGAGGTGATATGTGTCAGGTACTGGACCTAAGCATTGCATGGCTTTGCAGAGATGATTGACGTTCCTCACGTGATCAGCGCAACCAACGGTCAGTTGGGTCACAAGGTAGATTTTTAGGGGAGTTCTCAAAGTGTTGGGCCCCTTTAAAGGCAGTTTACTGTGGTTTTGAGAAGTGTGGGTTCACACAAGGAGGACGGTTTAAAACGGTTGGGAGAGTCTTGGGTCCCTGGAAGTGGATCTAGCTACATTCTAAGTCCTGACTTCCGGAGTCGTTAACATACGTCACAGCAGCTTCATAAGTCCGTTTAGGCAGACTCTGCTGCGCGTAAGTGCGCGGCTGCGAGGCAGAGTACTAGTCTACTGTGCCTGAGGCCATGAGTTCACGGCCCACCTCCCCTTTCCCTTTTTCATGAGCCCAGCTATTCTGTCCGCCTGTATTTGGTTCTCTGAGCCACGTGAGAGGGATGGGAGAAAACTCAGGAGAAAAAGCCATGCTTTTAGTCCTTACAAGTTTTATGTCATGTCACCTTTTTTTGTGTTTTGTTTTTGTTTTTTGTTTGTTTGGTTTTTTTTTTTTTTTTTTTTTTTTTTGGTTTTTCAAGACAGAGTTTCTCTGTGTAGTCCTGGCTGTCCTGGAACTTGATTTGTAGAGCAGGCTGGTCTCAAACTCATAGAGGTCCTCTTGCCTCTGCTTCCTGAGTGATGGGATTAAAAGTGTGCGCCACCACCCGTCCATCAGGTCTTAATAAATGACCACAATATTTTTTTTTTTTTTTGGTTTTTCGAGACAGGGTTTCTCTGTGTAGCTTTGTGCCTTTCCTGGAACTCGCTTTGGAGACCAGGCTGGCCTCGAACTCACAGAGATCCGCCTGGCTCTGCCTCCCAAATGCTGGGATTAAAGGCGTGCGCCACCACGGCCCGGCCGACCACAATATTTAAATTTGTGATTCTGCATGTACATTTTAGTTGGTTATGCCTCAAAACTAATAATAATAATTGTAGTATATCACAAAAATGAATTAAAAAAGAACTGGAGTGATCATAGTTAATTTTTAAAAACTTTTTGACAAAAACATGAAAACAACCAAAACCATATAAACACAATTATCATAGACACATATGACACAATTACATGAAATTAGGTGAACCTAGTTGAGAAAAAAAGTGGTAGAAAGTTTATTCTTATTTTTTTTCAAGTTTAACTTTTATTGATTATTTGTGGATTTCACATCATGCATCTCAATCCTACTCATCTTCCCATCTCTTTCCATCTACCCTCTACCCTTGCTAACCCCCAGTACAAAACAAGATAACATTTTAAAGGAAAGAAAAAAAGGAAAGAAAAATTTCATTGTGGAAGCTGTAGTGTGACACAGTAAGTCACATAGTCCTTTAGTCCATATATTGTTACTTGCAAGTTTTCATTGCACTGAATCATTGGTCTGGTTTGAGATCTTTCATCAATACTGGGCCCTCACTGGGGCTCCTCTTGGATATCCTGTTGTTGTCCTGTGTCATGGAGATCATGTAACTTTGGGTCTGCAGGACCAACCTCTTCACATGCTCCAGCAGATCATAGATGGGGTGGGCCAACTCATAGTTCTGTTTCTGGATGTGGGTGGTTGCTGGGTTAATCAGCCCACCAGCTTTCCTTCATCGTCAACACCAGGGTGAACTCTCCAGTATTGCCCCAGCTTGTCCTTGGAGTCAGCTCACCCACATCTACACTACCAGGCCAGCTCTACTATGTTGCGTAGTCGAGGTATAGGGGTCACTTTCTCTAGTGCTCCAGGGCCAGCTCTCTCACTCTAGTGACCTCAGGGACTGCTCTCCCACCTATCACAGGTCTCAAGGGGTATAGGGGGCTTCTCTCTCTTGCCCACACCACCATATGGTAGATGGGGGTGGAGCTAGGTCTCTCACACTCACGTTCTCAGGGCTGGTTCACCCATGTCTCCATCAATGGGGTCAGTTCTACTGTGTTGCCCAGGCGAGGTGCAGAGACCACTCTCCCTAGTTCTGCATCTAGTGAGGGGCAAGGGCAGCTCCCTAGTTTGCTGCAGGTGGCAAGGGGGGAGGTTATCTTTCCTTCTCCCCTGCACCACATGGCAGACAAGGGGTGTAGGGCCAGCTCTCCCACTCTCATGACCTCAGGGAAGGCTCACATGTGCCCCCACCAGCAGGGTTGGCACTAGTATGGTGCCCAGGTGAGGTATAGGGCCTACTCTCCTGAGTGCTGTAGGTGTTGAGGGGCGCGCGGGGGGGGGGGGGGTGACAGATGAGAAATAGGGCTTGCTCTCCCACACTAACACCCTCAGGGTTGGCTCTCCTGTACCATCACCAGCAGGGTCAGCTCTACTGAGTTGCGCAGGTGAGGTGCAGGGCCTGCTTTCCTGAATGCTGCAGCCCATGAGATGCTGGGCCAGCTCACTGGTTCTCCTGACCTCAGGGCTGGCTCTCCCACCTGCCACAGGTGGTAAGGGGCGTGGGAGGGGAGGACATATCCCCCTTGTCCACACCACCATATGGCAGATGAGGGGCAGAGCCAGATCTCCCATGCTCAGATTCTGGGGGCCAGTTCACCTACATCCATGTCAACAGGGTCAGCTCCACTGTGCTGCCCAGGTGAGGTACAGGACCCACTCACTCCCTCCAGGGCTGCAGCTGGTGAGGGGTAGGACCAGTTCTCCCTAGTGTTGTAGCCAGTGAGGGGTGGATCCAACTCTTTGCAGCTCTTGGTCTTCAGTGGTAACAGGAGCCAAGGACATCAACACAGACCACGGCTGCAGGGGGGCCATAGGAACAGACATGACCCTTGGCTTCAACTCAGTCCTGAACAGCACCATGGCCCCGGGTAGCAAGGAGGCTACCCACCTCCGTCCGTTCCTCACTGCCCTCCCATTTTGGATCTGCCTCTCTCTACAAGACATGAATCTCTCTCTCTCTCTCTCTCTCTCTCTCTCTCTCTCTCTCTCTCTCTCTCTCTGTGTGTGTGTGTGTGTGTGTCTCTCTCTCTCTCCCCCCATACCCGACCATATATTTTCTCACCAAAATAGTCTATCAGGTGTCGGGTGAGCCTGTGTTTTCTCTCCCAGTCCCAGGGCAGAGAGCCTTGGAACGAATGTCATGTGGATCTTTGTCTCCTGCTCAGTCTTACTGGTGCTGTGCAGGTTCCTGTCTTCTGTTCTGGGCCACAATATGAAACTTCAAACAAAAGTCATTATCTAGATATCTGGACTGGTGAGATGACTCTGCTGAGAGAGCATAATGGTGCTGACAGTCTGGTGCCAGCGCTTGTGGGTGAATTTTTCCTGCCCCAAGTCTAGGGACTTGGGGCTGAGCTGTGCTGGTCCTCCAGAGTCTGCCAGGGCTAGAAAACTTATCTTTACTTCTTTAAGATGTGAGAAAAGATTAGTAACCCAAAGGTCAATTAAAAGAGCCAAATTAAAATTGGGAAGTATAAAAAGATTTCTTTAATGAGGTCACATTGGGAAGAGGGACAAAGTGATCCAGAACCTCCCCAAGTCCATCTTTAGGGCCTTGAAGTAAGATCAAATTTTAAATAGAGGGCCAAGGATATGCACATCCAAGCAGTCCTGGTAAAGGTGTGGTGATGCCCACCACTGACTCATCACCATCATCATCTAGATTTTAGTCTCATCCAGCAAGGCAGTTTGATAAGTTGCCAGAATTGTTTGAAATTCTTTCAGGGAGCCATGTTGACCTTCTAGCTGGTAACCCTTCCTTTTGCCAGCATGAGACTCCTGGGGAGACACCTATATCCTTTAAAATCCATTATTTTAAGAGTCAGATAGTCAGAAAAGTCATGCTTTACTACATATGACCCAGGGGCAGAGTATGGATGGAAAGTCATGCTTTACTACATATGACCCAGGAGCAGAGTATGGATGGGTCTAGGAAATGTCTATTTCTGGTGTCAGTGTAATTTAAATATTTAGTGCATTTTTGGTGACAAAAACAGAAGCAAAGGAACATACCCCAAATTTAACAGGATCAATAAATCAAATGACAGACAGAGAAACTTACCTTGAATACATGTCCAAGCAAAATTCCCCAGGATTGATTTGAGGGGACACAGACATAGCTTCATGCTATCATCTTTTCCAGCCTGGGGAGTTCTTCAAAGTTGTGGGAACTTCCATTCAGGCCAAACCGAGATTTTTTATTTGCTTGTTTTTAATGCTGGAATGAATTTGAAAACAGGATTGTATATTAAAGACATTTTTAAATGGAAGCATCAGAGTTAAATGGAGGAAAAAAGCTGTTCAAGGAAAACTAAGTCAGAGATAAAGAACTACAGTCAAAGAGATGAGCAGGGAGTTATTTTAGAATTTATCTTGAGTTTTGATATAAACTCTAAAAAATATCTTTAATTAATTTTAATTTTAGGATATAATTTAACTAACATTTGGTTATTTTTGAAGAGTTATTTTTATTATGAATTACCAATTTTAAGCTTTTCCTTTTTCAGATCATTTTACATTTTAATTAAAGCAGGCCACCTATTTGATTTTTAAAAATTGTATTGGCCAGGTCCTTGTTAAGCACACAAGATAAACCAGTTTGGAGGTAGAAATATTTCCCTCCATTTTTCCAAATACTTACAAGTCAGTATTTATCACACATAAAGTTAGCTAGAGTACCAGATGGTGGTTTATTTCCCAACATTTTTCCCTTTTGGAAACCTTGTTCCTCATATTTATATATCTTTTGTTTTTGAAAAACTACCTGCATATGTGTTTTGGGTCAGTTTTAGGTGCTGTTAACTCCACCGATTGAGAAAAAGATCACTACCACAGTTTAAAGTCAATTTTGAAGCAAGTCTTAATTAAATACTGGCCAGGTGGATGGTCTCTGGCCAGGTCCGTACCCAGGTTCCTGGGAAAATGGCCCAGAACACGCAGCAGCTTAAGAAGGAAAACCCATAATTCATTGCATTTCCTGTCAGGTCCAATCAGGAGCAAGCACACATCCTGATGTACCTCCAGCCTGTGACCCTCCTGCCCACAGATGGGTCAAACTAACTTGTTTAGGGGAATAAAAACATGTGACTTGTTATCTCCCATAAACAATAGTCTCCAGCACTTCAGGAACTATCTATCCTTGGGCAAGGGGCTTGTAGATCAGAGACATTTTGTTTCATGGATCTCTTTGGCATAGTAATTAAAACTTAAAATGTAACTTTGGCTTTCACAGTGCTACTTTGGGAATCAACATTCTCAGCTTTTACCCTAAAACCTTTCTGAATCTCAGAGTTATCCTGGACATTTTATGCAAACATGATGGTCCTTAAGAAACTAGGTGACCAATATTTCAAAACACATTCAAAATCAAGAGAAAGAAATGGACATCTGTATTAGTCAGGGTTCTCTAGAACACACACACACACACACACACACACACACACACACACACACACACCACACACACACACAAAGGGGGTTTATTAGAGTGGTTTACAGACTGTGGTCCAGCTAGTCCAACAATGACTATCTACCAACAGAAAGTCCAGGAATCCAGCAGTTTTTAGTCCACAAGGTTGGATGTCTCAGCTGGTCTTCACCATAAATCTGAATTCCCAAGAAGTAGACTCTAGTGCCAGTGAAGTGAGATTGGGGGCAAGCAGGCAAAGAGCAAAAGCTTTCTTCCATGTCCTTTGTCTAGGCTGCCATGAGGAGGTTTGGCCCAGATTTAGGAAAGGTCTTCAGACCTCAAATGATCCAATAACTGTAAATCCCTCATAGATGTGCCCAGTGACTTGGGTTTTTAGTTAATTCCAGGTGTAGTCAAGTTGACAACCAAGATTAGCCATCACAAAAATACTAACCCTAAACAGGCATGACAAGAGAAGAATTTACTCATGGTACATGTTATACAGTGCTTTTTCTTCCAGGAAAAAACAGATGCCATCCTGGACTTTTCCCTGATAACCATGACAACTAGAGCAGAACAAAACAGTGGTGGCCAGGTCAATTGTAATGAACTATTGATACTCCCGAGGGAGGGTCAATAGCCTGTCACCTGGAATTCTAGGTATTACTCACTCCCCTACCTGAGAGTGACTTTAGGAGATGTTACACTATGTAGAAAGTGGAATGTTAATTGAAAAGGGACTCCATGATGTAGCTCCCAAGAGGTCACCATCCAGGATGGAGTAGAGCTTTGCAGTGATTCTGTTGTTTGGGTGTAACCTATGGTAAGTAACATCTCACCCATGTTCTATTAACAAGCACAATAAACTCATTGCTGTCACTGAGTTGGATTTTGATAATATCATACTTTTGGTCTATTGTTGGTGCTGGTCAAGGATGCAGAGACATTTGTTTGTGTCTTCCCAATAAGTTAGTTATGAAAACAGATTTTACTCAAGATGTCAAAAATACAAAATAAAGACATTATGTTAAAACCTATAGTGGAAAATACTAACTCACTAAAGCAAAGACAGAAGAATAATATCAGATATTTCATCAGTAACCCCAAAAGTTAGAAAAGTATGCAACAATATAATTTAAGCTACAAAAAGTAAATCATTTCCAACCAACATTGCTATATGAGGTAAAGCTATCATTTAAAACAGAAAGAGATACAATAACATTCCCCAAACAAGCATAAACTAAAAGATTTGATGACCACCAACCCAACACTGAAGGAGACACTCAAGGGAAAATATGTTGCTCAACATAGTAAAACAGCAAACCCTTAATATTCATAGAAGAAAAAGAAAACCAACACTAATCCAACTGACCAGAAAAGGACACTCACAAAATTATAGGAATTAGGAAATATATGCAAACTTTTACCACATATGTGAATGTTCTTGACTCGCCAATGAAGAGCACCAAATTCTAACCAAGGATGAAGTATCAATGAAGAAACAGAAATACTGAGTTAGAAAACACAGTCCAATTAACTACCTGTTGTCTCCAAGGAACAGACTGCACTAGCAAAGAGACCTGCAGACTGAGAATGAAAGAAGAGAAGTCAACCTATCATGCAAATGGAAGCCCAAAACAAGCTGGTGTAGCTATTGTGATATCTGGTATCAAATAAGGGAACTATATATAAATAAAAGGGATAATTAATGCATAAAGAATACACAACAATTGTAAATACATATGCAGAAAATATTGAGGCTCCCGATGTCATAAAGCAAACACTAATGCACATAAAATGTGATAGGACCTGTTATAAGAAAAGTGGGCAATTTCAAAACCCCATTTTCGAATGATACAGAGAAGATTAGCATAGCCCCTGCTCAAGGATGACACGCAAATTCAAAACCTCATTTTCATCTTTAGATGGGTCATCCAAACTAAAAATCAATCAGGAAACTATGGAGTTAAACTATACAATACATCTATACAATAGATCAAATGGACTTACAGAGACTATTCCATCCATTAGAAACTCTTGGAACTATCTCTAAAATAGATCTCACTTGAGGACAGAAAGCATGTCTTCACAAATAAAAAAGCATAAAAATCTCTGTATTTTATCATATCAATTTCAAGGTAAGTTAAAGAAAGGACACAAATACATAGAGACCAAACAGTGAACTCTTGAATGACCTTTCAGCTCATTGAAGAAATCAGGGAGAAAAACTTAAAAATTCCTAGAACCAAAGGAAAATCAAATCTCAACTTACTACAACCTCTGAGATTCAGATAAAGCAGTTCTAAGAGGAAAGTTTGCAGATAGATCTCACATAAATAGTCTAATAATGAATCTTACAATCTTAGACAAAGGAACAAGACTGACCATAAAGCATTAGGTAGAAATTACATGAGAGATACGAAAAAGCCCTTGACAAAGTTCAACATTCCTTCATGATACAAGTCTCAAAGGAGCATACTTTCAACATACAATTGCTTTTATATGGCAAACCTATACTAAGTATTATACTAACTAGGAAGAAACTCAAAGCATTTCTCCTAAAATCATGAATGAGATGAAGAATACCACTCTTATTCAATATAATCCTCAAAATCTTCAGTAGAGAAATAAGACAGAAATAAATAAGAGACAGTAATAGGAAAGCAAGAAGTCAATTATCCCTATTTGGAGACAACATGATCCTATAATTAAGACCCTTAATGGTCAACCCAAGCTTCCTATCTGGTAAACTCTATCATCAAAAACATTGAAGAAGACGCTAGAAGATGGAAAGGATTCCCATTTCACTCCTTGTCAGAATTAATATTGTGAAATAATTAGACTACTAAAAGTCTTAGAGATTCAAATCAATCCACATCAAAATGCTAATGATATTCTCCACAGAATTCCAAAAGCAAATCTAAATTTCACAGGAAAGCACAAAAGGCCTTGAACATCCGAAGAAAACGTAAGCACAAAGAACAATGCTGGAAGTATCATAATACGTAATCTTAATACACTGGAGCCAAATGTGCAAAACCAGACACGTAGACCAGTGAAATGGAATACAGAACCAAGAAATAAACCCATACAGTTACCATCACCTAGTCTTCGACGAAGATGTTGAAAATATACACTAGCAAAAAGCCTTTACAACAGGTTGTACTAGGAAACGCAGGTATCCACATGTAAAAGAAGGAAAATAGATCCCTATCACTCTCTCTGAACAAAAACCAATTCAAACTGGATCAAAACCTTGATGTAAGATGGTGTACCCCGAATCTTAAATGGTCTTTTAATAAAAAAAAAAAGCTGGGGCCAGATATTGGGGTAATGCTGACAGATCAGAGAGACAAAGGAACAAGCCACAGCCACCAACTCCTCAGCCTGAAAAAGCCTCTAGTTCCTATCTCCTCATGCCTTACATACCTTTTTCCACCCAGCCATCACTTCCTGGGATTAAAGGCATGTGTGCTTCCCAAGCAAAGGCATGAGATCTCAAGTGCTGTGATTAAAGCCACGAGATTCCCAAGTGCTGGGATTAAAGGTGTGTGCCACCACTGCCTGGCTCTCTTTCTCTCCTAGACTGAGTCAATCTCATGGAGTTTTGAACTCAAAGAGATGCACACAGATCTCTGTCTCTGAGTGTTAGGATTTTTTTTTTCCGAGGCAGGGTTTCTCTGTGTAGTTTTGGAGCCTGTCCTGGAATTTACTCTATAGACCAGGCTGACCTGGAACTCACAGAGATCCTCCTGCCTCTGCCTTCTGAGTGTTAGGATTAAAGGTGTGCACCACCATTGCCTGGCTTC